GCGGTAGAATTATCTGTTTGGAAGCAAGGAGAATATACATTTAGGTCCATGAAGTATGGGTTTTAGTAGCCAGTTTGGAGATGTAATAGGTTGCCTTGGAGAATCGTGAGCGCTCCTCTAATGCAATATTCAGGTGAGGCTGTACAGAACGGCACTGTGGGAAAGGTGTGGGCATTACAATGATTCATTTAGTTAATAAAGATTTGTAGCTCCTGTGTCAAACTTTGTTCTGCTTGCTTGGAAGAGGATGGTCAGGAAAAGCAGTGTGGTCCTTGATTTCCCAGGGGTTGGTCAGGACTGCTTGAATCAGCACGTGGTAAAGCGCTACCTGAGCCTGGCCGGGAGGACCCCGGGGAGGGCAGCCGGACCAGAGGCGGGGAGTAGCAGAGGACTTCACAGCAGGTTCACTCCACACAAGACTCCCAACTCAGCCCACAGACCACTACTTCCACCGACCACGTGCCAGGCTCTGTGGTTCAGGGGCTCGGCGTCCGGAGGAAGAGGCAGTCGTGTTCTCCTGAAATGAATTATCTGCCCAACATCGAGATAAAGTGGGCAAAGAAACTACAGTGTGGTTTCAGCAGCTGGCTCTCAGCCTCATTCAGCAGAGAGCACCACAGAGCTCGTCCTGACAGAAGCCAGGAGGGGGCACTCCTCCTCCTCGCCCCATGTGCTCAACCCTCCTCATCAATCGTTTGTCACTGGCCACCGCAAGGAGAGAGGAAAAGAGGGGTGGGCTGAGCCTCTCGAGCCCCTGAGGCAAGAAGCTGCTGCCAGGCCGTGCGGCCCAAGCCTCTACCAGGGCCCTGCCTGGAGAACAGGACCTGGTGGGCACCCACTCCCCGGCTGGCAGTGGTGAGAGTCCACAGCAGGGTGGGGGCCAGTCCCGAGCCAATGCAGCCTGCCTCCTAGAGCCCGGTGTTCTCAGCCCCAGTCAGGCCCCACAGAATTCACAGTTTTCACCTCTTCTATCTCACTGAATTCCCGCCAGATCCAAGCATCATCTATACTGAGAAGGGAGCTGAGATTCTGCGCATTAAGGCCAGATGACTCTCACGGGCAGTCACGTTCATACCAAGGCTGCCCAGCTCTAACTGCTTCATCACTCTGGGCACCCACCTTGGGGGTTTGGGGACTGTGGCATGGACATCCTGCTGTCAGGGTGAACTGAGAACCGAGGCCGTGTCCCACCGCAGTGCTCATCGGTCAACAGCCACATCAGGTTATTGTGTGCTGTCCTGTCACTCCCGGTTTGCCACCAGAGAGCTCCGTGGGCTTGTTCTGGACTTCAGCTGAAGGCCAGGTGTCTTCAGTAACTCTCTACTAGTAAGGAGTGTGTTTGCCCGAGGGCCCACCTCAAGTTCCAGTCAGTCTCTTGTTTGAAGACCTCAGGTATCACCCTCCTGCACGCTGGACTTTCCTCCCCTCTCAGTTGCTCACACCAGGATGCCTTTCACCCCGCAGGTGCTAGACACCTGCCTCTCCCTCTCTGGGCCACCTGCTCAAGCTGAAAGGTTGAGAACAAGGAGGCACGGTGCCAGTTTACAGCGCTCTGGCACCTCGGGCAAGCTCTTTGAGCCGAGTTTGCATTTCCTTCTCTGCAAAGTATGTGCTGGGCCGTTTCCTCCTTCTTAGAATCCTCGTGTGGATCAGAAGCCGCCTATTTAAAACACAAGGCGCATAGCAGGTGCGCGCTAAGTGATAGTTATATTTAGGACAGACACACCTGAGCGGGAGACAGACGAGGCACATGGGTGCCTGCTAAGTAAGCTCCCACCACTTGGCAGCAGATGTCAGGGTGCCAGGGGCACAGCGGATCCTTAGCCCAGCGAGGCTCCGTGCTCAGCCTCCAGCCTGCACCCCAGCGCCCTCCGCGCCCATCACCAGGGCCTGGGTGCCTCGTCTGTGCTTGTCCACAGCTCTGGCTACGCTCCTGCCTTCACGCCCTGAGCCCACTGGACCTCCTCCGAGAAGCCTTTCCGGGGAAAAAGCAGGAGTCCCTGCGGCTCGCCGCCGTGTGCTCTGGCTCACGGCTCTGCCAGGCAGCCTCAGGAACAGTCTCACTCGGACCACTCCTGAGAAACGGCAGCGTGAGGCGTCCCTGGGAGACTCGATGCCCACACGCTCCACAGCCCGGCCACCCCTGAAGCTGAGTGGGTTCCCTCTGCCTTCCGAAAGCCTCTTGAGGGCATGGCCATGCTTGCTTTCTTAGACCCCAGTTCCCGCTTCTCTACAGCGGTTCCCACCTTACCTCCCTTGGGGCTCCCGATGGGGACCCTAGAGGGACCCCGCAGGCCAGCCCCCCATGCAGGCCGGCCAGGTGCACGCAGCTGGTGCCGCCTGCCCTCCCTCGCTCCTGTGCTTCAGGCCTGAGCCCGGCACAGCTCTGCCCTCAGGCCCGCCTGCACTTTGTTTCCCTGCCCAGGCCGGCTGCCATGGAAGCATATAGCAGGGATTCGCAAGGAAAGGATCTCTTTATGATTTTACCGACTCTTGGCAGTGATCCCCAGCTCCGCCCCGTAAGCCGCAGGCCTCTCCTGCCCTCCTTCTCCTGCCCTCCTCCTCCTCCTTCCCCGAGCAACAGTCTCCCAGGCTACCAAGGGCAAAGCGCCGTGGCTCAGGGGCACATCATCGTTTTGCTAACCAGCACATTTTCAGGCTGTGAGCTGATAACCAGAGAGCGTTAAGAGGATTTCAGCTCTATCTGATTCCTGGAGGCCGGGCCGGGCCGCGCTGTTCTGATTCAGAGGCACCGAGCTCAGGGACGAGTCCATCAGGAGCCTGGACTTCTCGCTGCTCTCCGGAGGCCCCCACCCCGAGGCCCATGCTGCTGGCCTGGGCCAGTGGGGCAGGAAGCTCTCCCTGCAGGGGGTTGTGTCTCTGAGCGATCTGTGTTAGGCCTACTGAGACACCAGCTGGTGCGACTGACCCCCGGGTGGCTGCCTCCCAGCCCCCCGAAGCTGCCTCAGGTCGACTTCAGTCTCCCGTTACTCCGAAGGGCCCCAAGTCCCCGGGCCATGATATGTTACCCCTCCAGCCTCTGACCTGCTGGCTGGGTTGTGCCACACATGGATGAGTGTACTGAGCTCCGGGATCCTGTCCCCCTGTGCTTCCACAAGCACATCCTTCAGCAAGACCCTGCACCCCCAGATCAACAACCATGAAGTGGGTACCCACTGACCATTTTGCACTGGGCTGCCCCTTACCATCCGCTGGGCCAGCTCCGAGGCTGGACGGCACCACGGCCCTTCCGGCTTTCCCTCCCCCCCTTCCCGCCACCTGTCCCACGCGCTGCACTTCCAGGAGACCATCACCCTGTCGGGGCGCAGTTATTTTGCAGAGTGGAGTCTCTACTTAGTCACCAGATTCCTGGGCTGCCTGGGGAACTCGCCTTCACCTCTCTGGGCTTCCTGTTTCTTTCTCTGGGTCTCGCAGGGTGTGCGGACACAAGAGGTGACTGGGGGACGGATGGAGCAGATTCCAAAGTGTTCTGCCCCCGAGACTGCCGTCAGTATTTCTCCCACCCCTCCGGGGAGTTGGTGGGTTGATGGCAGCCTCATGGGCCCTGGCAGGGGAGGCGCCCTCGCCCTCTCTGCTGTCATGCGTGGTGTGGGTGGGGCCGGCCAGGCGGAGGTCAGGCCTGGCTGCAGCCGCTGAAGCGCGGCCAGTGACTCAGGCCCCTGATAGCACTCTGAGAGCGTGGGCGCCTGCTCACCCCTTCCTCCACCCGGGCACACCTCTTGGGGTGGGAAGCTTTTGGCACCAGGGAAGGAATCCATCAGGGCAAGTCAGGAAAAACTATCTCAGCATCCAGGCCTTTCCTGTTAAGTTCAGAAAGAATTGGGTAGGAAAAAAAAAACAAAAAAACACCCAAATGCTGTGCTTTGACTAGATGTGGATTCCAAGCCCAGGCTGAGATAGATAGTCTGCTTCCTGGGCTTGCTTGGAGACATGTCATTGTGTCCTTGAATGTAGGAGGCCATCAGTCATGTCCACCTCGCTCCCCTGCCTTAAGTAAAAACTATATCAGGAAGCAGTATTTTTGCCTTGTGTTGTACGGTAGTGAGTATGGTTTACTGGCATCGGAAAACACGCTGCAATGTATTTAATTCTGCAAAAGACTGCGTGGAGAATGCACAAGGAAACTCAGGCTACGAGGGGCTGATCTGATCGCTGCCCGTTGGGGGGTGAAAGTGAGGCTGATATCGAGGTCGCCCCCATTTGGTGCTTATCTTTTTTCAGTTCCAACCTTGGGAATTTAAATTTCACTTCATTTTCAGAACGACAAACTCAGAGTTGGATTTTAAATGTAGACGGGCATGAGGCATGGTCTTTCAGAAATAAGACACCCAACCCCAGCAAAGTGCTGTCTTTCGGTCTGTCTTTCAAGGAATCTCCTGGAGGGGGACTAGCGGGAGTTCTGCTTTTATTCTATTCCAAGTGCTTCCGAGACCCCTTGCCTCTTGGGTCAGGGTGCGCAACCCCAAATTCATCCCGAAGGCCAGTAGTTTATTCCCTAAGTTTATCGTTGGTTTCATCCACCTTTAAGGTAGGACTAGCCTGGTACTGAGATCGGAATCTAAGCAAGCTCTCTTCCAGGCGAAAATCTGTCACAAGCAGCCTACGCCTACTTATTAACTAATTCTGCAAGTCTTCATATTGCTTTGTTCACTCTGAATTCACCTGGGGTTACAATCCACAGGCAGGTACCTGCTGAAGTGGGAACAAGTGAAATTGAACTTGCAAGAATAAAAGGGTAATCTCAGTGGAGATAAATCTTCCAAGGCAAGTAAGAACTAAATGCGATGACCGTAGCAAGGCATTAAAAATTAAAAAGAACAATGAAGGAAGGAGAGGTGCATGAGAGCCAGGAAAACATCTGTTTTAAGTAACACAAGGATTAAGTTTCCGGGGCACAGACAGCTATTGGGAGTTGGGGTAAGTTAATTATATCCTTAAAAAAAAAAAGACACTGCATGCTCAGACTTTTTGGAAGTGATAGTTTAGTTCCTTCATATAGAGACATATTACACAATGTTAACAACCATGAAAAACAATACAAAATGCCCTCAATTTAACAAGTAGAAAAATATAACTAGTATATATGGCAATTGTGAATCTAATACTGTACAGAAGTAATTTATGGATTTTACAAATAAATTATAGCTTCAATGCCCTTTTAAAATTATTTCCCCCTAGATGTACACCAGAACTTACAGTCGGAAAGCTCCGAGCCTAGAGCTGAGGGCGCATTAGTGCCAGTCAAATGTCCTGCCAACGAGCTCGAAGAATTTCTTGTTTGGCTCGTGAAAATATTCGTGGAGTTTGTGGAGGAGTTTGGGGTCCACCTGGGGGTGCGCCCGGCCTTTGGACTCGTGCAAACAGCGGTCCCGGCCGCCGTCCCTCAGGCAGTAAAATCCCTTGGTTTTGTTAAAGTAGAAGTTGGAGGCGTTGATCTGCGGCGCCAGCTTCAGAAAGCGCTCCACCTTCTGGATCTCGGGGAAGGGGTCCCTGATGAGGCGGTCGCCGTCCACGATGTGGATGTGGCGCAGCGGGAAGAAGCGCAGCCAGTTCTGCAGGTGCACGTGGTAGAGGCTGCGGTTGAGCGCCTTGTAGTCCACGTTGAGCCGGCCGTCGCGCACCAGGAACTCCTCTATGGACGGGTACGGCTTGCGCTTCTGCAGGTGGTTGTAGAACACTTGGGTGTAGTCGGACAGCACGCGCTCGGACGGGTCCCGCAAGATGAGCAGCAGCCTGATGGTGGGGTTCAGGCGGTGGACGCGCTCAGGCACTTTGGGCGACGTGAAGTACGCGGGGGTCTTTTCCACCGTGAGCTGGCGCGGGGAGGAGAAGGGCATCTGGCCGAGGTACCAGCCGAGGCCCTGGCTGTAGTGCTCCTCCCAGTCGAAGAAGTGGACCTCGTTTTCGGCGGCCGCCACGTCGGGGTGCAGGCTGAGCATCTCCAGCAGCGCGCGGGTGCCGCCCTTGCGCACGCCGATGATGATGGTCTGCGGCAGCTGCTGCGCGGAGCCATTGGGGGCCGCGCCGTCCCGGCCCTCGTCCTGCAGACTGGCCGGCCGCAGGGGCGCCGGCTGGGCCTGCTGGGCCTGCTGGGCCCCGGGCGTGGCGGGGCGCGAAGGCACCAGCTGGAGTCGGGTCAGCAGCAGCACCGCGCCCAGCAGCAGCGCTGCCATGCTGGACGCCACCGTGGCTTCACTGGGCCGGGCGCCGCTGGGTCATGAAGCGCCGCCGCAGGGAAGGCCCCGGTCAGTGACACATGGGTGTCGCAGCCACCACTTACTAGGAAACAAAGGAGGGACATGGATTAGCCGCAAGTCAAAACGGGGTTTACCCCGCTGTCAATCTGAACCCCGGGGCTGGGCACTCAGCGCCCCGGGGTTTTAGCCCGTTAAGCTGGGAGTGCAGGCAATTTTGCCAACCGCCAGAGAGTACATAGCTTAGACTTCGCAGGACCTACAGTGTCGATGGCAACTCCGAGTGCCCCGTCGTGGCTGGAAAGCAGCGGACAGGGCGAGGGTGGATGGGGGGCCAGTAACGCTTTCGGACACTGACCTCCGAATGGCATGTCATTTTCCGAGGGCATTCGATATTATTTGGATTTTTTTTTAAGCAATACATGTTTGGCTCTGTACAGAAAAATCATAATTCGCCAGCCCCTGTAATAAAGGGAAAAGTTCAGAAAGACTTTCAGTCCTCAGCACACATCGGTAAACCCAGGAGAGGGGCTGGAAGAGAAGCGGATTTCTGACCCTTCCCTTCCCCTTGTGGCTCCTTCTCTTAAGTGCAAGGGTGTCCTGGTGGAACGCTGCAGAGTCTCAAGGACCCCACCCCTCCTCCAGCGTTCTGGACTGGCCCCTACTCCAGGGACTGGAAACTACAGCTCCCAGCAGCACCAGGGAGAGAACTGCGGGGACCCCAGGGCGGAGCGAGCCGCCTTCTGGGGCTTTGGGGGCTACATGGGAGCGGTTTCCCAACTGACACTCTGGGGAGGTACCGGCTGTCTCCCTCTGGAGCAACTGCTCAGACCATGTGACTGGGGCGAGCAGCTTTAGTTTGGGACTAGAGTTTAAAGTATTCCAGCTCCTTCGTGTCCCTCGCTCTTTCCCTGGGTTGTTTCCTTTTTCTTTCCCCTTTTTGTAAATAAACCCATGACCCTTTTGTGTGCGCCTGCAGAAAATTACGTTTTGAGCGGGCGGGTGAGGCCCCACAGACAGGCGGCCCAAGTCCACTCTGGGCTACCCTGTCGCACGTCCTCCCCCCAACCCTCTCTCTCTCCACCCACCCCGGCCCTCCCCTGCCGACAGGAGCTTCTGATCTAACAGGGCAGGCGTGGGGTCTTGGGTGTTTGTCTCAGGGCAGCAAGGGCTCACTGCTCGGCTTGGCTAGCAGGCGCTCCGTGGTGCCATCAGAGCCGAAGCAGGGTGCCGGGAGGGCCGATGCTTACTCATTCTGCCTGAAGCAGCTGGGGAAGGTTTGAATGGGCCTGGAGGGAGACACAGGGGAGCTCACTGGGTGCAGCAAACACTCAGATGTGTGATGTTTCACTGCTTCCCTGGTGAGTTTGCCGTCTGCTCGGGGGTGTCACGGTGACCCCACAGCCTCAAGCAGGACAGGGCAGCTCATGGCGAGGTCTCGGCCAAGGACACAGCAAGTTAGTCCACATCAAAATGCAGAGCCCTCATTCAAACGCCTAAACGCAGGGTTCCGGCACACGCTGCCTCCTTCACGCCTCTCCCCTCCCCTGTCCAGGGCGTGTCACACTTTGCCCTCAAGGTCACAGTCACTGCTGGAGCAGATGGCACAGGGGTGGGGGTTGGGGGGGGCAAAGACAGACAAGGCCTGGCTCGTGTTTTCAGGAGCCTGATAGACGACTCCGTGTTTGACCCTCTCCCAGAAAGAGGACATTGGGAAAAGCTCCGTTTTAGGTGATCCCTGCTTAAACACACCGAGGGAAGAGTCACCCCCGCCTTGGGGACTGTGGGATTCATCAGCCATAAAAACGTTCTCCATCAAAAGGGCCCATTATCTTCTTTACACCAGATGTAAAATGCACTTTATTAGTTTAAAACTTTGCAGGATTTACAAAGGAAGAACAAAATCCAGAGCTTCCATTTCTATGATCAAGCCAATGGATGTACGTCTCTCGGATATTAATTGTACTAGCTGCTTTGAAAAATGTATATTGGAGAGCAAGTAATTAAATAGCTGGAAACCTTCAGAGAATCACAGAAAACTGGAGAAGGGGCCTGCAAGATCAGCTGACTTAGGCAACTTGCTTTCGTCGACTGGACATCTTAGTCCATTTCTGTCAAATTCCATTTCCTTCCCAACTGCTCACGTGGGTCAGCACAACGGGTCGGCCGTGCTTCCTTTTACAGGTTTGGGTGTGAGTGTGCATGTGTGTGCATGCTTGTATGTGTTTCTGAGAGCATGCATACATGCGTGACACACATTTGTGCACTCCCTGGTGTACCTGTGCACCCGTGCACACACTTGTGCGTGTTTCTGAGAACATACATACAGGTGTGACACAGAATCCTTGGTGTATATGTGCACTTGTGTGACACTTGTGTGTGTTTCTGAGAGCATGCATGCATATGTGACACCCACTTGCACACTCGTGCAAGTGCACACTTGTGCACCTGTGTGACACGTGTGTGTGTTTCTGAGAGCATGCATGCATATGTGACACCCACTTGCACACTCGTGCAAGTGCACACTTGTGCACCTGTGTGACACGTGTGTGTGTTTCTGAGAGCATGCATGCATGTGTGACACCCAATTGCACACTCGTCGGTGCACCTTGCACGTGTGTGACACTTGCCTGTTTCTCCGCATGCACAGTGCTCGTTTGCATGTGTCCCGTGTGTGTGCGTGTATTTGCCCGGTGTTTCTCAGTGCATGAGTGCGTGGCAAAGGCGTGGGGCAGGGCACGGAGGCTGTTGCACTGGGGTCGCCCCCCACTGCAGGCTCTTTATTCAGACTCAGAAAACAAGCACAGACCCCACTCATGCAGATTCTGAGGGAGTCAGAATTCACGCTGAGATCCTGATTTCTGACGAGGCACACGCTGTGTGCTCGATCCTGGAACAGCCTGGCGAGTGAACATCCGAGACGACGTCTCCTGAAGGGAATTACCAGCGGAGAAACTAAAGATAGCCTGTCCTTTACTGAAATAAACCCTCCAAACCGGGCAGTGAGCAGTTGAAGAGCTCCTCATGTCTACTTTAATACTTTCTAAAAATGTATTTACTTATATCTAAGGCTTCTAGATTCCAAAAGTATTTGATGTTTAGGGGGAAAAAGGCTTAGCTAAGGCTCAGGACACACAGCAGATGCATAAATAAGCATGCATGTGATACATAGTACATGTATGTGCATGCTTGTACATAGAGCACAAGCATATAGAGCCTGATTTTAAATTTTCCAGGAGCCATAAATAGAAAAAAGTATTTTTTTAGTAACCCGGTGTGTCCAAAATGTAATCATCGCAGCTCACAACCACTATATAAAATTAAGGAAATCATTTGCACTTTCACTAAGGTTTCTGACTCATCTTGTTGCGTATTGATGTTCTTACAGCACAGCTCGAGGCCAGAGACCAAGACCACCGAGCAGACCTGCGGTCTTGCTCTGAAGGCGTGGCAGATGCCCTCTAGCCCTGCGTCACGCTAAGAAGTCAGCAGAGCAGTTCACAGTAAGCTCCCTTCTCCCACTCACAGCCGCCGAGTCTCCTAAACAGCTAGAGAACACGGGAGGGAGGCGGGAACGTGGCAGGCAGCACAAAGACAAGCGCATGGTCCTCTCTTAAGAAGCAAACCAGGTAATGGAACCTTCTGGAAATTTGGAGACCTGAGCTGACACAGGCAAAGACTGATGGTTTCACAGCTCCCGGAGCCCAGGCCACAGCCCTCATGAAGGATGGGAGCTCCCTGACGGCGGTACCGAGCCTCTGACATGGAATTCTGCTCCTCTGCACCGCGATGCCCCGGTTGTTGGGAGTGACTCAAGATTTACTCACAAGGACTGAATTAGGGCCGTAAAGGACTTGCATCCAAGGACTGATAAGGTGGCAATAAACTGACCTTGCATCCGGACGGGACTAGCTAAAGGGGCCTCACATCAAGGGCACAGCGATGAGTCACCCCCTTTGGAGTCTGAGTTTAGAATCTATATACTGAGAGGGCAGTGGCTGGGGACCCCACTCCAGGGGCTCCGTCTCAGCTGCTGTCGGGGAGCAATAAGCTCTGCCTGCCCAGCCTTTCTGCCTCAAGCCTTCCTTTCTTGCGGCCGGTCACAGAACTTGGCAACAGACTCATGGCGTCCGTCCCTCCTCTCCGTCCTTTTTCCTTTCACCGGTGGGACCAGAGGAGTCAGGTCTGGCTGAGCCAGGACCCAAACTCAGTCACCCACGCTGGGCACAGCCGGAGCCAGGAGCTCACCTCCTGCAGCCCGGGCTGTCCCGGGAGTCCGTGCCACGTATTCCCGTGCCGCGTGGCTCCTGTGGAGCACTCGCCTGGCACAGAGCGGCAGCTCTGCGGAGGCTCAGACTAGCCGGGACGAGCACCAGTGACCTGGTCCTCCCGCTGCGGAGGGGCGGAAGGCCCCAGGGAAAGATCCGCCCTTCTGTGTGGACCCCCTGTGTGGACCCCCTTGGATCACGGAGGCTGTTTTCTTGGCAGAAAGTAAACAAACAAGCCTTGAGTTTCGAGGCTCCAGAAGACAGTTGCCCTCCCATCCACAGCCCTGGGCTTCCCTGGCCCCACTGTGAACACCTGGCCACGTGCCAGGCGTGGGGACACAAGAGGGAGCCCACGCGGCTTTCCAGATGGAGGTGCCTGTGTGCTGGAATTAGATCTAAACTACTTTCCATGTCCTGGACGCCCCAAGGCCGAGACCCCCCACCCTACAGCCCCCAGCCCCCCTCCCTCCTCCAAGCCAGGCTGCAGCCCTGTGGTCTTTCTGTTCCTCCGAACACACGAGCTCACGCCAGCTCTGGGTTTAGCATCTGCTGCTCCCACTTTTCCGGATGCTGGGCCCCAAGCTTTCTGGGGCTGGCTCTTCCTTGCAGTGCAGTTTTTATTTAAAATGCTGGCTGTCCCTGCAACATGACGCCCCCCACTCTCCTCGCCTCATTTTCAATCGCTCCCTTTCATGCTCCCCACCTACGACCCCAGGCTGCACCTGTGCGGCCGCCGGCCTCTCACCGGCCCTGACCGTCTCCGAGTCTGAGCGCTGTGCTGCCTCTGCTGCCCCCCCCCCAGGGCCTGGCTTG